ACCAGGTTGGCAGGGAGAGCAGTTAGGTCTCATCAGGCCAGCAGGCAGAGGCGGTTAGGGATGATCAGGCTGACGGGGAATTAGGAGGCAGTTAGGGGCATCAGGCGGGCAGGCAGGTGAGCAGTGAGGAGCCAGCGTTCCTAGATTGTGAGAGGGAAGTCCAATTGCCAGTTTAGTCCCGATCCCTGGGACTGGGCCTAAACTGGTAGTGGATTGGGCCTAAATCAGCAGTTGGACATCCCCTGAGGGGTCCTGGATTAGAGAGGGTGCAGGCTGGGCTGAGGGGACCCCCCCACATGCACAAATTTCATGCACTGGGCCTCTAGTTGTACCATAATTAGCAACATTTCTAAGCAGATGTACTTTTATAAACTGAATATATAGGATGTCCCCAAAAATGTATACACTTTGAATAATTATTGATTTCAATAGGTTAAATCTGAAAAGAAAATCAATTGAGTTATCAAAATGTATATGCACACTTTTTTGGGGATATTCTATATAGAAAATAACAATCTTGGATTTTATTATTCTAGTGTGCACACTAGAAAAGCTTCTCAAGTACTTCAGAATACCAGGGTACTTTGGAAGAGCATCAAATTATATAAGAAATATAGTCCTATTAGAACCCCTAACACTGCTTATTAGAACCCCTAACACTGGCATGTCTCTTTCACAATCATTTAGCAAGAATGGTCAGGTTCATCTACATAGGCATACTAGCTCAGACAAGCAGATAAGTTGTTATTTGTAAGGCAGCTTTAAATCAAATAAGGTATTTTCAGTTGAATCAAGAGTTCTATTTTAAAGTCTACTATTTTTCACTGAGGCAAGTAATCTATGCTTTGAATTAAAATGGCACTTGTTTCTCAGTTCCTTTCTCTACTTCTGTCATTTAATTGCTTATTAGCACCCTCTGGTGGAGGGCAGAAGAGGAAAAAGAACATTAAATATATTGCTCCTAACTCACAAGGCTGGTGAGAGGGGGGGAAAGTAAGTTGAAACATGTAGAATTCTCTTGACCTTGTCTTTCTTCCCTGTAATTACTTTATAATTTAGAGCTAGCTGCTGAATAAGTAATATTAACCATATACTTACTCAGAGCCTATAACTAATCATTCAATAAACATGCATTAAGTAAGCTTATTTAGGGGTTTCTTTTCTCTTCTCAAGAGCTTGTATGACATTCCTCTAAGTGCCACCCAGAGGAGAGTATGTTTAGATATATTTTGGCTCTGGGTGTTTCTAAGAGCCCATCTCTGACCTTCACTACCTGCTTATAACTGAAATTTTTTAAAGGATATGTTACAAGTGATGTCCAAACATGGAACTTGCTACAAGTTTCCCATTTGACTCCTACTTAAGCAAGAAAGAGAGGAACACCGGCTACTGGGGGAAGAGGGAAGGAGTGTTCCTATCTGCTGCAATGAGTGGGGAGATTAGTTAAGCCTACTACTGAGAACTTTCCGTTTAAACACATTTATTCAGCCTGGAAGCTCACTTCTCTTCTGTCACCACTATTAAAGCAAAATAACTATTATTCTTTTCTGTCTTAAAGCTGTAAGGTGCCATTTTCTGACTGTCCCATCAATGCTGCCTGTGATGTGATTCCATGTGTGTACAAATATTGGTGGGCTAGTACAAAAACAAAGGACCTGGGTTAAAATTCTAATAGCCTAATGACTTAGTTCCCTGTCTTCTCAGTGCCTCTATCCCCTCCTCTGTAAAGTTTCTAAATCATAAGATTATTGTGAGGATTACGGGGGATATATTTTACATATAGCTAAATTTCTACTACCAATTATATATGATTGATGGTAAAAATTCAGCTACATCAATCTGGGGAACAGACAGGTAGTACTAAATTTGTTTTAAGTAAAGTGTGAAGTACTATTGTTCATTCATTTAGTTAAACAGTCACTGAGCATCCATTATGTGCCAAGAACTCAGCTGAGTGCTGGGGATACAGCCAGTGGTAAGTAGAAATGCTTTGATGAAGTTAATAGTTTTCTAAGCTATAGGTTTGTGAATACAGTGTAGACCATATTACCTCTATTTTATTGTGCTACATCTAATCCTTGTTATCCCCTTAGTAAGAATGCACCTGGTATAGTCTGCCCGGACCCATTCCACAGAAAAGAAAAATGAGGTTCTTATTTTCACCCCAGATCACTGAGCAAATAAGAGTCAGGAGAAAAATATGTAGACTCCTAGTTGGTTGTGTGTTTTTTTTTAAATGAGGTCACTTCCACTTTAAACGTGAGCTTGCTAAGTCTCTGATTTGTTGGGTGCAGAAACACTGTAAAGTTAAAAAAAAAAAAAAATATATATATATATATATATATATATATATATATATATATATATATAAATAAATAAAATTGGTCTCTAGATGTCATTAGATTATCTGAAACCACACTCTATTTTAAGGCACAGAAAGGTGCTGAAAGAAATAAAGAGAGTTATTTATGTTGCAAAATCTCATCTGTCTTTTTGCCCAGAGAGCTTCTACACCTGGATATTTGTTAGAGGGGGGAGAGGGGGGGTAAATCACACTTTAACTTTTTTATATTTCCATTCAAGTCAGGCAAACATAGTAATTATGTCATTTGAATTATTTTATAAGTGTACTAAAGTATACTTTAAAAATACTGCTTTCACAGAAAACAGCAATAATGGTGCTTGGGGTGAACAGACTGAAAAAGATTTAACAAATCTTCCCTGGGTTCTTCCTACTCCATTCAAGAAGTATAGTGCATGCATACCATTGCTCCGAGGGAGTGCAGGCAGCGGTGGTGGTATGAGGACTTAAAGTTCATTCATCTCATTAACATACGTTATTATCCTGTTTCATATATGTCAGGCCAATATACTGAACACGTCTCAAAGTAACTAAAAGCCAAACTTTGAAGCATTTTTCTAACTGTGGAACTATCCTTTCCCAAAAGATAATGTAATTTTCTATATTGAGATTTCATACCATAATACTTATCAAAACCAGAAGCACGGGGGAGGGGGAGAGTTTCTCCTACCAAAACTATTTAAACAAACACACAAAAGAAACCATGTGTTAAAATAAAAACAAATGCATGTCCACTAACAATCCATATTTAATGATAATTATTATTGTTTAATTAGGCTCTAGGAAAATATCTCTTGAAAGGTATTCGGCAGTTTATGTTAAATGGGTAAAAAATCTATCCTGGGTGCAGTGCGTTCAGGTTATAAAAGCACCAGTGCTTATTTTATCTCCGCACAAAGTGTTGCTGAGATAATTACTGCTGACAGCTTTATTCAAGGTTCATTTCACTTTTTCTGCTATTTTTCTCTGGTTAGAAGTTCAACAGAGCCCATGGGAAGCCACACCCCTCACACCTGTTAGGCTTCTTCATGTTACGAAGGGCCAGTATGGACATGTCACTTCAAATTAGCATTGCACCAGGGCGCTAACTGTGACAATTACTTATCACAGGTTTAACTTAAAAAAAAAAAAAAAGTTTCTAATTCAACCACAAAAACAGTGTCACAGAATGTAATTTAAACCTGTAAAAGCAGGTTGCATAAAAGATGTTCAGAGAACCACAGAGTAGGTTCCCAGGGTTGAGCTTTGTCATATCTGAATTATGTAGGAACGCTCTGCAACTGACCATTTCCTTCAAAACAAAACCAAAAACCAAAAGATAAACAAGAAAAAGCTAGTAATTGTATTTTACTAGGAGTCAATGGTGATGAGTGGGCCCAAGTTTTCTTCACGATTCTCTCGAAAGCTTGAATATTTGATTCATTTTAATTCTTTGGTGTTAGGTAACTAATTCAGTAACAACATTTCCAGCTGAGCAAATCAGTTATAAAGGCAGCTTGATGACTAGGTAGGAAGGAAGCATTCTCTACTAATATTTGTTTTTAGTCCATTTGCAAACCAGAAAATTATCATTAGAGAAAGCAGACATTGGCACAAAAAGAGGAAAAGGAAAAACCTTAAATGTGTTTCAGGCTACATATTGTAAGCCTCTCTGTTTCAAGTGCAAAATAATCTCAGAATTATGCCACCTCTGAAAGACCTGTGATGGCTGGGGTGGTTAATATGGACTGCTGTGAGGCTAATTGTGGATCCTGAGTTAATTACTCTCTCCAGATAGGGAACTCAAAAAGCAAATTAAATGGTCTTTTACACCATTTCTATTTCCATTTGGACTCAGGAAAACACCAAATGATGATGGCTAAACTCTGGAAACTTCGATATTTGCTGCTGTTATTTAGATTACAATCCTGAAAGCCTGGGAAATAAATATGTCCACTTCATAATCAGTGCTAATGTACACTGACAAAACAACAGTGAATGGATCTGTGTTTGCCACAGCATGCACAACCTGATTCACAAATGCCAATGTCCATTACCTGGTCAGAGTTAAAAGGAATTCAATGTAGTTTCACGCCACAAGTGCACACAGACAGACACACACACACACACACACACACACACACACCTGACTTGAGGATGCAAGCCACAGATTGCAGAGACTAACTCTGAAACAGAACCTAGTTCTTAACACTTATGAAAAGTAAAGGACAAAATAATTATGCTGAGCAGAATTTCAACAGAAAAAAAACGAATTGCTTATTTGCAGGAAATCATATTCATTGGCAAATCCATGGTAATTTTGGCATGACAACAATTTCAGTACCGTAACAGTTCTACAAATTTTAAAACCATCGTATACATGAACAGTGTAATAGAAATGCAGAACTGTTTCAAGGCAAAATACATGCAAAAATAAAACAAAACAAACAAACAAACAAAAACCACTCCTCAAGTTATTTTCCTTCATTTTTCTAGCATTTAGAAAGTCATTATTAACAAAACCATATAAAGTCAACACATGAAAAACTGATTATATGAATCCAGGACCTTATCAAAACAAAACCCTTACCTTATTCCACAATCAAAGCATAGTCACAGAGAATCAAGACAAAATCTTAGGTTAGAAAGGTGTGTTTACCTCAAGCTGGTTCCTCAATTTAAGTTTGATAAAGAGGTTCTGTTAGTAGAAAAAAATCATTATTTTAGAGCTATTGTATTAATCAGTGGAGACTTCAGCTCAACATAACCACAGAACCTTCAAATATACAAGGATCCATCTTAAGCCTGCTTTGTATGCATAGAGAGTACCAACCAGCTATTTGGCACATGTCTAGTCAATAGTGGGATGCCATTTACCCCACAACACTGTGGAACTCTTTGGACAGCAAACATAGGCGCTCTGGATATTTTTCCAACAGCATCTAATTTCTTGGCAAAACTGAGGCAGTTATGCTACTAACTGCTTTGGTCTCAACACATGGACACAGAGCTTCCAGGCATCTTGTCATGGCTTTTGCTCCCAGGGAAAACAGAGACTGAATCAACTATATCAAGTTAGGCACAGCAGCTTAAATGGGTGTAATCTAGAAACGAGAAAAGAGAACTTCATCTTGCTGCTTAATCCATGCCTAGCCCATCCCAGCACAGTGCTCAACTCTCATAGCCTTAATGTGAATCTCTAGAATTCTTGGTATGTGGTTCTTTTAACTTTGCCTGTGCCTATGTTTACATATTGGACCGTAAGGTCCTTGAGGACACAGCCTGGATCTTATATTCTCACATATTTTAGCCCCTGGTAGAACTTAGTAGGTTGAAGTCCAGTCATATAATAAATGTCTATGTCTATTGCTTGAAATTAAATCGGTACTTTCCTTGCCAAGATATCTTTTAAGATAGTCATTTTCTAGAGAAATAAAAACCTACCTAGGAAAAAAACCTAGCAACAACTCCAAAGTCAAATAAGACGTACTAACAATGATCCTTACAGTATTGTCTAACTGACCTTTTGTCTGAGTGAAAAGTATAAGGCTCAAAAGGATTCTGCCGTAAGAATGGGTGTTTAATTTGGCAGTCACTGATGACTTGAGACCAACAGTCAAAATAAGCAAAATACAGACCACTCAAATTCAACATCAACATAATTCTAAGTTATATATTTTCATTTTTAATTAATTATAAGAGATCAACTGAAGGACTTGTATACATGCATATATTATAAGTACAACCAATGGACACAACACTCTGGGGAGGGAGGGTATGTATGGAGGGGGAGGGCAATGTTAAAATATGTACACAGATAATAACTGAATAAAAAAAAAGAAAAATAGGATTTATAATTTGCACATAACATCATATATAATAAAAGCCTAATATGCTAAGTGTCCAGTCATCCAAACAATCAAAGTGTAATATGCTAATGATATGCTAAGGACGCTCAAGCACTCACTATGATGTGCACTGACCACCAAGGGGCAGACACTCCGACCAGTAGGTTAGATTGCTGCTGGGTTCCAGTCCGGCAGGACTGAGAGAGCAGATCGGACACACCCTCGAGCCCTCCAAGGTCCCTCCCACCTGGTCAACCCCCTGGGACCCTCCCCACCCCTATCATGCATCTGTGGGGTCACTCAGCCTGGCCTGCACCCTCTTAAAATCCGGTACACCTCAAGGGAGGTCAAAGAGCCAGTTTTGGCCCAATCCCCCTCAATGCAGGAGCTGCCCCTTGGTGGTCAGTGTGCTTCCATAGGGGGAGTGCCCTTCAGCCATAAGCCAGGCTCACAGCTGGCGAGCACAACGGTGGTGGTGGGAACTTCTCTGGCCTCTGTGGCAGAGCTAAGGATGTCCGACTAATCGCTTAGGCTCGCTCCCTGAATTTTGTGCACTGGGCCTCTAGTTAAACAAAAAAATTGGAGAGCCATGGCTGGTTTGGTTAGTGCAGTGGTTGGCAAACCTTGGCTCGCGAGCCACATGTGGCTCTTTGGCCCCTTGAGTGTGTGTGGCTGTTCCACAAAACACCACGTGCAGTGTGCATGTACAGTGCGATTGAAACTTCATGACCCATGCGCAGAAGTCAGTTTTCGACCTGGGCAAGTCTATTTTGAAGAAGCAGTGTTAGAACATTCAAGGGGCCAAAGAGCATGTGGTTTCAGGAAGAGTCTTCAGAAGCTATTTGCTCCCATTAGAATTGAAATTTAATACTAATTCAAGTTTGTTATCTGTATATGCTCACCTATATGAGAGAAACTAACTTTTATTCAGATAGGCAATCCATATTCATTAACCTATTTAATCCAAAAGTTGTTAACATTCCCATACAACAGATAAGAAAACAGGCTTAAAAATTAGTAAATCTATATATAGCTAATTTAAGATCTTTTATTACACAGCCAGATGCCTATTTTCTAATATAACTTATTTGTCTGCTAAGAAAACCAAAGTCCAGAGGACTTATGTGACTTACACACGGTCAAAGATGTGACATGTTAGAGGGGAGATTCTGAGCTCGGCCTATAGGTTTCAATGTATCAATACTACATTCTTTTTCCACATTTGTCATTCAAGAGACTCACATATATTACTACCACTTAATTCAAAAGCCTCCTAAATGATGTTATAGAAACTCTCTCCCCCCTAAAATGAAATTCAAGCCCATTTGACCGGACCAACTTAATATTACCTAATCTTGACCTTCTTCAATTTTCTAACACTAAAACCTTTATTCCGTTATGTTGGGGGCGGAGGGGGAGGGAAAGGGGGGAGAGAAATACCATGCTAAAGCCAGGCTTGGGTGAAGTCTTCTGGGAAAGGAGGATAATGAAAAAATCCTCTTGCTTTGCCAATTCAAGAGGCATTGACCAAGGTTGGTTTCTTGGGGCTTAAGAACCAGTAGGCTGCCATTGTAAACATATACAGGCAGCTAAGGGGCAAATGGCAGTGATCTATACCCTATTATAGTGGGATGTCCTTGAGGGTACTGTGAGGAAAAGAGGATCTGGCTCCCCTGTGGAACCTTTGACAATATAACTATGTCTATCTGGGTACAATGGTGGTCATAATTGGGCACAACGGGGAGGGAGCCTAGAGTTTCTTCTAACTCTATCATTATTCCTCCAATCCTCCTCTAGAACCTGGTTCTTTCCCTAATCATCCTAGACCTGTGGTCAGAAAACAGGCTCGAGAGTCACATGAGGCTCTTTGACCTCTTGAGTGTGGCTCTTCCATAAAATATCACAGCCTGGGTGAGTCTATTTTGAAGAAGTGGCATTAGAAGAAGTTTAAGTTTAAAAATTTGGCTCTCAAAAGAAATTTCAATCATTGTACTGTTGATATCTGGCTCTGTTGACTAATGAGTTTGCCAATCACTGCCCTAGACTTACTTGGGAATATTGTGCCCTAGTTTCCACTCCCTAGGCTCATTAATATCATCTCCTACACCATGACCCTGCTGCTCTTACCATCTCCCAACTATACTGAACCTTGTCTATATCAAGTTTCATCTCAGAGCCTCAGCGTCAACTAGCCCAATAGATGCTCCAAGTTTGAACCAGCTCATACCAAGTAAAGAGCACTTGCAGACTGCTAGTTTATATTCATTCATTTTTAAACTATGGCATTTTTTAAATCATCACTAGATGACATGTTTATTGATTTTAGAGGGAGGGGAGGGAAGGAGTGGAGAAAGAGAAACATTGATTGGTTGGCTCCCATTATCTCAGGCATGGGGATAACCTGCTACCCATGCATGTGCCCTTGACCAGAGATCAAACCCATGACACATGGGTACATGGGTGACATGGTCTTAAGACCTTCTCAGTGGATGATTAAATTTTGAGAAAGACTCCTAAGTGGATAATCGCAGCACAGAAAAGCACATCATATAATAATACAATTCTTACAAATTTATCTTCTCTCTTTTTTCTCTTGTTTAGTAAATCAAAGCTGATGGTTAATTATTAAGTTAATCACAAGAAGTAAAAAAGCAATGATCACCATAGGGTAACACAGTATTAATAAAGGTCTATTAAATATCATTTGAAAATGTCATACTTGTTTGTTACTAGTCTGAAGGTTACCTTTTGTCTGAATTACAAATATTTGAATTTTATGCAAGTTGAGTTTACAACTGCTCTAAATGAGAATAAAAGGTTAGAAATAAGTAACATAAATCAGATCTCCAGCTTTTCAATTGCACATCCAATCCAAGATAACCAATTCTATTTTTTTAGGCCAGATTTCTCTTCTGAGCCTTCATTCGTATGCTAACCATATGCCTGTTCATCTAGCACAGTTCACCAGCAACTTTGAAATTTTCCATCTTTTCAGGTTCTCAAGTTACTTCTCTATTCAGTTCATTTGACCTATCTCTTGTTTAACTATGAATTACATTTAAATTTTAGGGCTAAGATATTTAAGTGCTTCATACCTCCCTTCAGATTTGCATGGTGTAATTTGGGTTAGTATTCCCACTTCTTCTTGCCTCTTTCCAACAACCATCAATTACACAAACAATGGTTTCTGGCTCTCAATGTTTCCCAAACTTACCCTTTGTTACTGGAGTTCTTCCAGAATTAAAACTATTAACTCGCCAAGCTTTTGCAGTCTTGGGGGGAAACATAGCTTCTTAGGACATCAATTTTTTCCCAGGTAAAATTCTATTTTGTCCAGTTATCTCTTGAACTACCTTTGCCCCATCTCCAACCATTCTCTACCATAACAAGTGTTTTCTTCTGAATTTGAATAAGCTGCTTATAAAAATTCATTTTTTTATTATCCCACTGCTGAGAATATTGAAAAAAATAATAATAACCCTGAGTAAGAAAGTCTCCAAATCTATCTATATCCAAACAATAAAATGTTGGAGCAATAGTTTCAAATGAGAAAATGATACACAGAAATGAAAGATAACTTCTAAACTTTGAAATAGAACAGCTAGCATGGTTAACAAGCAATTTACAAGTCAGGTGCATTTACTTATTAAGCAACTGCCTAAGTATGTCATTACTAATAGCTTAAAATGTCCCAGTTAATTTGTAACATATAGTTAGAGAATATCTATTGGTTCTTTAAAGTTTTATTTGTAGTATCAGTCCTGTATTTCCTAACCTGTCATAATTAATTCAGTCCTCTTGCACTTTGAAATCTCCACAATAATAAGAACTTTATCAGGCTGGTGTTGGT